TAAATACTGTAAATACAGCAAATACTATAAATACTGTAAATACAGCAAATACTATAAATACTGTAAATATAGTAAATACTGTAAATACAGTAAATATAGTAATTACTATAAATACTATAAATACTGTAAATACTATAAATACAGTAAATATAGTAAATACTGTAAATACATAAATACCGTAAATACTATAAATACTGTAAATACAGTAAATACTGTAAATACAGTAAATACTATAAATACTGTAAATACAGCAAATACTATAAATACTGTAAATACTATAAATACAGCAAATACTATAAATACAGTAAATACTATAAATACTATAAATACAGCAAATACTATAAATACAGCAAATACTATAAATACTACAAATACAGCAAATACTATAAATACTAATAAAATACTGTAAATACCGAAATACAATAAATACTGTAAATACTGTAAATACAGCAAATACTATAAATACTGTAAATATAGTAAATACTGTAAATACAGCAAATACTATAAATACTATAAATACAGTAAATATAGTAAATACTGTAAATACAGTAAATACTATAAATACAGTAAATATAGTAAGTACTGTAAATACAGCAAATACTATAAATACTATAAATACAGAAAAAATAAATATAGTAAATACTGTAAATACAGCAAATACTATAAATACAGTAAATATAGTAAGTACTGTAAATACAGCAAATACTATAAATACTGTATAAATACAGCAAATACTATAAATGCAGCAAAATACTATAAATACAGCAAATACTATAAATACTGTAAATACTATAAATACTGTAAATACAGCAAAGACTATAAATACTGTAAATACAGCAAATACTGTAAATACAGTAAATACTATAAATACTATAAATACAGCAAATACTATAAATACTGTAAATACAGTAAATACTATAAATACTATAAATACAGCAAATACTATAAATACTGTAAATACAGCAAATACTATAAATACTATAAATACAGCAAATACTATAAATACTGTAAATATAGTAAATACTGTAAATACAGTAAATATAGTAAATACTATAAATACTGTAAATACAGTAAATACTATAAATACTATAAATACTGTAAATACAGCAAATACTATAAATACTGTAAATATAGCAAATACTGTAAATACAGTAAATATAGTAAGTACTGTAAATACAGCAAATACTATAAATACTATAAATACAGTAAATATAGTAAATACAGTAAATACAGTAAATATAGTAAATACTATAAATACAGTAAATATAGTAAATATTATAAATATAGTAAATATTATAAATACAGTAAATATAGTAAGTACTATAAATACAGTAAATATAGTAAATATTATAAATACATTAAATATAGTAAATACTATAAATACAGTAAATACTATAAATACAGTAAATATAGTAAATATTTTAATACAGTAAACATAGTAAGTACTACAAATACAGTAAATATAGTAAATATTATAAATACATTAAATATAGTAAATACTATAAATACAGTAAATATGGTAAATATTATAAATACATTAAATATTGTAAATACTATAAATACAGTAAATACTATAAATACAGTAAATAAATATAGTAAATACTATAAATAACTATAAATACAGTAAATATAGTAAATACTATAAATACAGTAAATACTATAAATACAGTAAATACTATAAATACTATAAATACTATAAATACAGTAAATACTATAAATACAGTAAAATACTATAAATATTAGTAAATACAGTAAATACAGTAAATACTATAAATACAGTAAATACTATAAATACAGTAAATACAGTAAATACAGTAAATATAGTAAATACTATAAATACAGTAAATATAGTAAGTACTATAAATACAGTAAATACTATAAATACTATAAATACAGTAAATACTATAAATACAGTAAATACTATAAATACTATAAATACAGTTAATATTATAAATACAGTAAATACAGTAAATACTATAAATACAGTAAATACTATAAATACAGTAAATATAGTAAATACTATAAATACAGTAAATATAGTAAGTACTATAAATACAGTAAATATAGTAAGTACTATAAATACAGTAAATAGTATAAATACAATAAATACAGTAAATACAATAAATACAGTAAATACAATAAATACAGTAAATACTATAAATACAGTAAATACTATAAATACAGTAAATACTATAAATACAATAAATACAATAAATACTATAAATACAGTAAATACTATAAATACAATAAATACAGTTAATACTATAAATACAGTAATATTATAAATACTGTAAATACAGTAAATACTGTAAATACAGTAAATATTATAAATACAGTAAATATTATAAATACAAAATATAAATACTGTAAATACAGTAAATACAGTAAATATAGTAAATACTATAAATACTATAAATACAGTAAATATTATAAATACAGTAAATACAGTAAATATAGTAAATACTATAAATACATTAAATATTGTAAATACTATAAATACAGTAAACATAGTAAATACTATAAATACAGTAAACATAGTAAATATTATAAATACAGTAAATATTGTAAATACTATAACTACAGTAAATATAGTAAATATTATAAATACAGTAAATATTGTAAATACTATAAATACTACAGATATTACAAACACAGTTTCTAAAGTAGGATAATGAAATATATCTATAATTACATTATAATAAACAGCACACTGACCTCATTGTGCCTTTAAGCGTCACTGTGGCGCCCCCTGATGTCTCATAAAGACAAACCAGTCAAATTACCTGTTTTTTTTTTCTCCACGTTGCTAGGGGCGACCCCAGCCTTCAAACCACCGCCTCCCTCCAGTGGACCAATAGAAAGCACGTTTGACGCCATCAGAGGAGTCATCAACGAAGACGTCGTCAAGACAACACAGGGCATTTATCAGTTCGACCTATCAGGTAACAGTAAAGTTAGATTGTGTCCATATAAGGAGATTCTGTGGGCGTGGCAACAACATGAACGTCTTTATGTCCATATAAGGAGATCACAAAGGCGTTTGGTTCCTGGACTTGAAGAGCGGCGCCGGCAGCGCGGGCCGGGCCAGCCCGTCAAAGCCGACGTCATCATGGCGATGGACTCGAGCGACTTCAGCAAGATGTTTGCAGGTGAGCCGTCACCACGGTAACGCTGGTGTAAAACACAGCCATAGCGATGGATTTAGCGGCGTTGTTTCCGTGGTAACAGCTGTGTGTTGGCGTCCTCAGGGGAGCTGGAAGCCGACGATGGCCTTCATGTCGGGAAGCTGCGGGATCAAAGGCGACATGACGCTCGCCCTCAAACTGGAGAAACTGATGACCCGCATGAGCAAGGCCAAACTGTGAGACTGAAGCCCCGCCCCCAGACCCACTCAGGCCCCGCCCACCCGCTGTACATGTTGCCTTAATAAAATAATAATGAAATAATAACATTTTAATAAAACCTTAATAAAAAACTGAAAACGTTGTGGTTTCATTCAGAGAACTCTGTTTATATCTCTGATATTATTATACTGAGGACATTCAGCACACAGACCATTATTAACATTAGAATTAATGTTAATATTCATATATAAATATATATGTATATTTTTATATATATATATATTTATATATATATCTATATATTTATATATAGATATATATAGATGTGTGTGTTGCAGCCAGTCACTCCACCATCTCTCCCTGTTGCGTGTCAACAAGTGTGAAGTGTGTATTTCAGCCTGTGTGTGTGGATCAATAAACTGTCTTATGTGTAAAAGCTGGTGTCACATTTTACACATCAAACAATAAAAACTGTTTAAGTAAAAACCCTCCTGTTTTCTTCTTCTGTGATCTCTTAGTAAAAGGGGCATTTAATTATCATATTAATATTAATATATATATTATTATTAATATCTATATAAGGACCGTGCATGCCTATAAGTAAGAATACCTGTCAGATAAATGGGAGTGTGATAAATATTCAAGTTCCTCAAAACTAAAACGTTTGGTTTCCTTTATTATAATTATAAAATAATATACTATTATTATTATTATTATTATTATTATTATTAGAGTTATGAAGTATCAGAGTATCAGTATCTGTATAAATCTACAAATATCAGTATCTGCTGTCGGACACCATAAAACAATGAGCATGAGTGATTCACTCAGTCTCTCAAACACACCTGCGAGTGCAGCTGCTGAACTTCCGGTTCTCAAGTTATCCAATCAGAGGCCGGATCCAGGTGTACGGGAGGGCTTTTAGTCGCAGCTGTGGCGGCTCCGGCCGTCAGCTTCCAGCCGCTCTTCGGTCGTTCCCCTCGGCAGAGAACAGTGGAGCATGTCGGCGGTTCTCGGACGGATGACGACGACGACGACGACGACGATGATGATGATGATGGTCTGGGTTTGGATCAGTCTGCTGACTCTAGCCCGGTTCAACACGGCACAGGACCAGCACCGGGACGCCGAGCTCACGGCGCTGCTGGAGGAGACCGGGGAGCGGCGGAAGACTTTCTCCGGTGCCAGTGTGGAAGTTCCTGAACGGTAAAAAGATCCACCTGTGATCAATAAAGGAAGTTAAATCCAACATGGAGTTCAGAGTTTGTCCTGATGAAGTGAATGAAGTGATTTAAATAGTTTCACACTCACTTTGTTTTTACTAACTGCTCATTAAACCCTGAAATATAATTAAATAAATGTAACCTTCCTCAACCAGCAGACATAATAAATGTAATTATAATTAAACTGCTGTTAATATTTACATTTATTGTATCATTAATGAAAAAAATCAACTTTTGTTAAAAAATGTCTCTTAGCTTCTCTGAGCCACTAGCTTAGTCCAGCTACGGCCACGCCCCCTGTGGTTCTCTCTGCTGCCTTTAGTGGGCGCTAGCTATCAGAACTGAAGTTGAACTGGATTCCTTCCCATCATGCATCAGCAGTAACTCTTTCTGTTTCAGAGCGCCGTGACGGTGGTGAGGCGTCAGATTTCCGGCCGGGCGCAGTATCTCTGCAGCGGCAGCTCGCTGTCTGTTCGCTTCTCGCTCATTCGACACACTGATCTGCGCCTGGCAGGTGAGTTTGATTCGTCCACCAGCTGCAGAGATTTTACACACTTGGATTGCCAGAATGAAATATAGAAGTTTAGTTTACTGACTGATTCAGTCTCATTATATAATGTCACACCAGGAGCATCAGCAAGCTTTAGCTCAAACTATAAAACGTTAAAAAGGTTCAAATGAAACCTATTAAACTCTTTACACCGGCACACTGCAGTGGGGGCGGAGCTACAGAAATCTTCATGTGCTTTAATCAGTCACATTTAATGTTTACTGAAGCTGCCAAATTAAGATTAGCGCATGGTGTTGATTCATGTTTCTAATAAATTTTCCCCACTCAGCGACACACCCGCTGAGGAACCAACTCTGGTTATTGGCAGCTCCATAGTCAGAAACGTGAAGTTAGCGAAGCCAGCGGCCATAGTTTAATGTATCCCTGGGGCCAGAGCGGGCGACATTGAATCAAATTTAAAACTGCTGGCTAAAGATAAACATAAATACAGTAAGATTGTTATCCACGTCGGCGGTAACGACACCCGTTTACACCAATCGGAGGTCACTAAGATTAATGTGGAGTCGGTGTGTAATTATGCTAAGACAATGTCGGACTCCGTAGTTTTCTCTGGACCCCTGCCCAATGTGACCAGTGATGACATGTATAGCCGCATGTCGTCATTCCACCGCTGGCTGTCGAGGTGGTGTCCAGCAAACGATGTGGGCTTCATTGATAACTGGAAGCCTTTTTGGGAAAACCTGGTCTGATTAGGAGAGACGGCATCCATCCCACTTTGGATGGAGCGGCTCTCTTATCTAGAAATATGGCGAAGTTTATTTCTAAAAACCTGACAGTCCAGAGTTAGGACCAGGAAGCAGAGCTGCTGTCTTACACACTTCTCTGCTCTTTCTTTAGAACAGTCACCCACCCAAAACCCCATAGAGACTGTGTCTGTCCCCCGACCACCTAAATTATTTAAAGAAATAAAAACAAGAGGAGTTCAACATAAAAATCTAATAAAAATTAAAAACAACTCAGTAGCACAAAATAAGAGAATGAAATGTGGACTGTTAAATATCAGGTCTCTGTCCTCTAAAGCTGTTTTAGTGAATGAATTAATATCAGATTATGATATTGATTTACTTTGTCTTACTGAGACCTGGTTGTCCCACGAGGAGTATGTTAGCCTAAATGAATCCACCCCCCCAGTCATATTAATACTCTCATTCCTCGAGGCACAGGCCGAGGAGGTGGAGTGGCAGCCATATATGATTCGGAAGCGTTTTAATGGACCCTAAACCTAAACTAAATTATAATTCATTTGAAAGCCTTGTTCTTAGTCTTTCTCACCCAAACTGGAAAACACTGCAGCCAGTTCTATTTGTTATAGTGTACCGCGCTCCTGGACCGTACTCTGATTTTATATCTGAATTCTCAGAGTTTCTATCAAGTATAGTCCTTAAATCAGATAAAGTAATTATTGTAGGTGATTTTAATATTCATGTGGATGTTAACAATGACAGCCTTAGTAATGCATTTATATCATTAATAGACTCAATTGGCTTCTGTCAGAGTGTAAATAAACCAACTCATTGTTTTAATCACACTCTTGACCTTGTTCTATCATATGGCATTGATATTGAACATTTAATAGTCTTCCCACATAATCCTTTCCTATCTGACCATTATTTAATAACTTTTGAATTCATACTATTAGATTATAAGCCATTAGGCAAAACTTCTGTCGTGGAAATTCTTCCCAAAGTTGAGAGGTGCTAAGTCTCTGAAGAACTTTCAAGCCGGTGTGATAATCAAGTCACTTTACTTCATGCTGCATGGAGAGAGAAGGTCACGTCATGGATGTTCTCTCCCGACTTCCAAAATGCTCTCCCTTATATACATTTCAGTGCATCTCATTACATCACAAACAATGAAACCCCTGTGTGTCTTGCAAATGTTACTCCTGTAAATCCAGGTCTCTCTCACCAAATGGTCCTTTGATGTGTGACTTCCCCCTGGCTCTTCCTATCATAAACTCAACCTTTGACCAGGGGCACATCTATTTTATTACCCCCAAATCCTGTTTCTCTCCCACACTTCCTACAGCAGATGTCTATCTGACAGTGCTGTAGCTAAATTTAAGGAGGAGATTCCCTTCAGTGTTTAATTCAATGCCATGTCTGAATTTAAGAGTCCTATAACGACTTTAGTCCCTCTGAAATTGATAATCTTGTCGATAGTGCTACAGGCTCACTACGATCAACATTAGACTCTATCGCTCCTATAAAAAGGAAATTATTAAACCATAGGAGACTAGCACCTTGGTATAACCACCAAACCCGCCAGTTAAAACAAATAGCTAGGAAATCTGAAAGGAAATGGCGCTCTTCCAAATTATCAGAATATCGCTCAAATTGGCAAGATAATCTTAAAACCTATAGAAAGGCCCTCCGTATTGCCAGAGGAGCCTATTACTCAGCTCTAATAGAAGAAAATAAGAACAACCCTAGGTTCCTCTTCAGCACTGTAGCCAGGCTGACAGAGAGTCACAGCTCTATCGAGCCACATATCCCCATAAACTTAAGTAGCAATGACTTCATGAGCTTCTTCTATAATAAAATTATTACTATTAGAGAGAAAATTAATCACCAACTGCCATCAACAGTTATCAGTGGCTCTCCAAGTTCAGGGACTTCTGTCAATGTAAACTTAGATGTATATTTAGACTGTTTTTCTGCTATCGATCTTCATCAGTTAACTTCAATCATTTCTTCATCGAAGCCATCAACCTGTCTATTTAACAGGCAGTGTTTCCTTGCCCTTGTCTCAAAGGTCTTGCTCATGGTGGTACTGTTGGGTCTCTGTAAATGTTAAAGAGTTCGGTCTAGACCTGCTCTATTTGAAAAGTGTCCTGAGATAACTTCTGTTCTGAATTGGCGCTATACAAATAAAATTGAATTAAGTTTTCTAAGACTTTTTTTTTTTACTTCCAGTAAAAGCAGGGTCCCCAATAGAAGCCTGTCTCCATTAAAAAGCTGGCTGTGGCTCCACGTTCTGACAAAACAAGTTTAACATTTATTCAGATGCTGCAAACAAGAGAGCAGATTGTAAAGTCTGTACAGTCCGTTCCTCCATTATTTATTCAGGGTCCACCCATCAGAACAAAGTGTTTCATTAAATAAATCTGAGTTGTGAATATGATGTCTGTTTGCCTTTAATCAGCTGAATATAACAATCATTGTGTTCGGTACCTTTTAGAATGACACTTTTTTTATCTACAGAGGAAGCAGGTCCTCTTCCGGTGGAGTCCGCCATGTTTGTACAGTAGCCCAGAGTGGACAAAAACACTGGATCTAGAGCGACTTTCATGTTTTTCACAAGTTCTGCAACCAGTTTCTCTTCCACAGCCCGATCTCATTCCCAGGTTATCAAACGCTCTAAATCCCACACTGGTCCTTTTAGGTTAATCCTAATTAATGGGTGATGGGTTACTATCTTTTTATTTTGTCCTATCGTCTTTCCACAGACGGGAGGAGGTTGTTGACAGATGGATGTCAAGGTTCTGTTCGTAACCTCGGGCCGTGGATGCTGCTGACGCTGCCTTATACCAGCTGCCACTTGGCATTATGGGTAGGAACATTTAAAAAAAAAAAATAAATAAAAATAAATAGATATATAGAGATAGAGATATCTCTATATATATATATATAATATTTATATATATATATATATATATATATATATATCTACTCTCTATATATATATAGATAGAGAGATAGAGAGATAGAGAGATAGATAGAGAGATAGAGAGATAGAGATAGAGATAGAGATATAGATATATAGATATAGAAAATATATAGATATATAGATATATAGATATATAGATATATATATATATAGATATCTATAGATATAGATATCTATATATAGATAATATAGATATATATATATATAGATATCTATAGATATATCTATCTATATATCTATCTATATATCTATCTATATATCTATCTATAGATATATATTAGATTATCTATCTGATTTTCATTATCACCCTAAATACCAAATGTTCATAATTTCTACTCCCCTTTTTTAATTTTGATTTAGCGATAAACTGTCTGATTACTTTGCTTCTGATATAGTCTGCTTAAAGATAAGAGCTAGAATGAGTTAAATATTGACTTTTCCCCCTGGTGACGGTTGTGTTTTTTCACTCTCGAGGTTTCAAATGGAACCTGGTTTCGTCAGCTGAGACTTCGTTACTTTGACCATCTGCTGCAGGCAAACGTAACTGGTCTGGCCACCTGTGAGAATCCTGCAACATCCCTGCAACTGATGCCACCGTTGGTGACTTGCAGAACAACAGATGTCACTGTGAAACTGCCTCTTGGAACGTCGGGGCGCCCGTGGTGGTGGTCGCCGTGGGGGTCGTCGTCGGGGCATCAGACGTGTCAGCCAGTGGTGGGGCGCCCGTGGTGGTGGTCGTCGTCGTGGCGCCCGTGGTGCTGCTGGTGGTGGTCGTCGTCGCCCGGGGCGCCCGTGGTGCTGCTGGTGGTCGTCGGCCGGGGCGAGTGGTGGTGGTGGTGGTGGTCGTCGTCGTCGCGCAAGTGGTGGTGGTGCTGGTACTGGTGGTAGTCGTCGGGGCACCAGGGGTGTCGATTCCGGTATACGGCCCTTCAGAAATTTCATCAAATCCCCACAACTCAAAGATTTCTGTGTCAGCATCAGTCACTTCGTCATTCCGGAACCCACTGGGCTCCGTCGGTTCCCTGGATGACGGGCTCCACTAGAACTTGCTCAAAGTCCCAAAGCTCCCACAGGTTGGGGTTTTGGAGAGCTCTTGGGTGTCGATCCCGCCTAGTTTGTGTTGCTGCAGTGGAACAAGCTGCCAGCATCGTGGATGTTTTCCCAGCAGAGTCTAAATAAATCACTTCAAAGATTGAATCCCAGGGCACCCGGCGCACCCAGGACACCCGGGGCACCCAGCGCACCCGGGGCACCCGGGACACCCGGGACACGGACGCCCCCGAGCGCCTACAACGGGCGCCCTGCTGACTACCACCACCATGGGTGGCCCCCAGCGCCCCAGGCGTCCCGATGACGACCACCACCACGGGCGCCCCACCACTGCCTGACACGTCTGACCCACCCATTCACCCCCTCACGTGTGTGTGTGTGTGTGTGTGTGTGTGTGTGTGTTTAATAAACCAAAGCATTACTAAATCCGTCTATTCCCTTTTTTCCTAACTTGTAAAGATTTGTTTGACTTGAGACTATTGAGATGCGCCTGTAGATTTAAATTAGAATATCATGGTAAAGTTCATTTCTTTCAGTAGTCAAATTCAAAAAGGGGAAACTCGTATAGATTCATTACACACAGTGAAACATTTCAGGCCTTTATTTCTTTTAATTTTGACTATGGCTTACAGCTAACAAACCCAAAATTCAGTATCTCAGAAAATTTTAATATTAGTACTAGTTCAATATTGTTGACTCACAATGTTACACTCTAATCAGTTAATTAAGTCAACACCTGCAAAGGTTTCCTGAGCCTTTAAATGGTCTGGTTCAGTAGGTTACACAATCATGGGGAAGACTGCTGGCTTGACGGTTGTCCAGAAGACAGTCATTGCCACCCACAAGGAGGGAAAGCCACAGAAGGTCATTGCTAAAGAAGCTTGCTGTTCAGAGTGCTGTATCCAAGCATATTCATAGAAAGTTGAGTGGCAGGAAAAAGTGTGGTAGAAAAAGGTACACAAGCAGCAGGGATAACCGCAGCCTTGAGAGGATTGTGAAGCAACGACCATTCAATAATTTGGGTGAGATTCACAAGGAGTAGACTGAGGCTGAGTCAGTGCATCAACAGCCACCACACACAGATGTATCCAGGACATGGGCTACAACTGTCAGAAGCGTCTTACCTGGGCTAAGGAGAAAAAGGACTGGACTGTTGCTCAGTGGTCCAAAGTCCCCTTTTCAGATGAAAGTGAAGTTTGCATTTCATTTGGGAATCGAGGTCTTCCTCCCAAAGTCTGGAGGAAGAGTGGAAAGGCACAGAATCCAAGTTGCTTTTAGTCCAGTGTGAAGTTTCCACAGTCAGTGATGATTTGGGGATCTGCTGGTGTTGGTCCCCTGTGTTTTATCAAGTCCAAAGTCAACGCAGCCAAATGTCTACCAGGACATTTTGGAGCACTTCATGCTTCCTTCTGCTGACAGGCTTTATGGAGATGCTGATTTCATTTCCCAGCAGGACTTGGCACCTGCCCACTCTGCCAAAGGTACCAATACCTGGTTTAATGACCATGGTTTTACTGTGCTTGATTGGCCAGCAATCTCACCTGACCTGAACCCCATAGAGCATCTATGGGCTATTGTCAAGAGGAAGGTGAGAGACACCAGACCCAACAATGCAGACGAACTGAAGGCCGCTATCAAAGCAACCTGGACTTCCATAACACCTCGGCAGTGCCACAGGCTGATTGCCTCCATGCCACGCTGCATTGATGCAATAATTCATGGAAGATTAGCCCCGACCAAGTATTGAGTGCATATATGAACATACTTTTGAATAAGCAGACATTTCTGTGTTAAAATGTATTGGTCTTATGAAATATTCTAATTTTCTAAGATACTGAATTTTGGGGTTTGTTAGCTGTAAGCCACAATCATAAAACTTGAAAGAAATAAAGACTTGAAATATTTCACTCTGTGTGTAATGAATCTATATAATGAGTTTCACTTTTTGAATTGAATTTCTGAAATAAATGAACTTTGTCATGATATTCTAATTTATTGAAATGCACCTGTACATTCATTAATTTCTGATAATTAATCAGACATATTGTGACAGAAACTTTTATTTTATTGTGTAATCTGCTATAGTGATTTAACTCCTAGCTTTAAACTGGAAACTGGAACCCATGTTTTAGGACGTCTATCAGTAGAAAACGGCATCAACAGGATTCTCTTATTGTAAGGTAGAAAATGTCCATAATGGGCTTTTAAAAAGAACTTGAACAACATAAAACCAACTGAATAAGTTTGATATTCAGTATCTTTTGATGGTGAAGCATTTTTAAACCTTCCTGTCCAATGAGAGCGCTCCAAACTAATCTCTGCCTAAAGGAATATAAACAGTTCCCACAACATCAGGGGTTGCTCCTCTGTTTAAAGTGGATAAACAAAGTTATAATGCATTGAAATACAACTGTGTGCTTCAGAGTTGTATCTGAACGTCAGTGAATAATGGTCGAGTAAGGTCCGATCACAGACTCAAACTGCCTAGCTTAGCAATTCAGACTAATCTTTAGCTAAATGACATTATATAGAACAACCTTCCTCCTCCCATGTGCTCCGCTACATCAGGCGGATAGAAGTGATGGATGCCTCCTGAAAGATTAAGATTTAATAGGAGCCATTAATTAATAATTGTATTATATTAGGTTAGTGATGGTTCATATTTCTTGGTGAATGTGATGAGTTGGTGTTTCTGATATATTTTCATTATTTTGTCTGTGTGACTGAATGCTGAGTCACATGGATGTGAGCGGAGCCACTGAGCACCTGTCCACCTGTGAGTGTGATGAGTTTATTCACTGTGAATAATTATGAGTTCACGCTCCTTACTCTAGTTTGTATCTTATAAAATTATTAAATGCATTATTTCCTATCTAAGATCACAAATCTAAGTTCTGATCTGTGACTTCAGGTTTCACCCACGACCAGGACACATTGTGTTACTTTGTTTTTAAATGTTTGTCTCCTTCAGTTGAAAATGACCAAAGACAAGCAATCGTGGACGTTGTGCCAGCCTATTTCCTGCCTAGCAACCAGGAGCCAATCGTGACTAGTGAGAGGAATCAACCAATCAGGAGCAGCAGCTCTCTGGTTGTCCTGTTTTCGTGTTGCTTCGAGCTAATTTTAATTAAATTAAACTAACATGAACTTTTAGTGGGTTTATCTGGATGTCTTAAGGGTCTGAACCACTGACGGTGTAGTATATAGTGCCGTGCACTTATACTGTCACGATGATGTTAGTGAAGTGTAGGCAGAGGGATACTAGGTTGTGATGATGTCTAGTTCCCGGGCTACCGGAGTGAGTGTAATGCAGGCAACGTGTGGGCAATAAAGCGACACTGTTGGAGTTAAAGACAAGCCTACGGATGTCCATTATGTATGTCGAGTCACCCGGCCATGAAGAACTATAACATGGTGTCAGAAGTTGGTCCAGTTCGTCAGTTTGCCGAAGTCGAAAAACACCAGAGTTTTGCTAGCTAAAAGTTGTGCTAGTGGTAGCGTCCCTAAAAAAGTAGACGCACGGAGACCTGCAACGACAGGGAGACGGTATGATGGAGCAGTTCAAACTACCATCGCCACTGGTGTTGACAGGCAACTTGGGAGAAAACTGGAGAAGATGGGAACAGCGCTTCCAAATCTACATGACCGCGAGTGGTGCAGAGGGTAAGGATGAAAAGATCAAAGTTTCCATCTTACTGCACGCACTAGGAGAGGAGGCTCCAAGTGTATACACACTTAACCTTCCAGAAGAAAAGACTGTGAAAGATGTTCTCACAGCTTTTGAAGCATATTGTCTGCCCAAGAAAATAATACAGTGTTTGAGAAAGGCACCAATTTTGGGCATACCCTATGACAGCCTCTGTCTCCATTGATAAATATGTGACGGAGCTCAGACAAAAAGTAAGGGACTGTGAATTTGACAAACCGGAAAACGACATGATCAGAGACAAGATTGTGTTCAGTATGAATGACCAGCGTCTTAAAGAGAGACTTTTAAGAGAGCCAAATCTTACATTAGAAAAGGCCATAGACACTTGCCGTGCTGAGATCGCCAGAGCTCAAATAGAAGCAATGAGCGCAGCCACTCAAGAGAGATCTGTACATACAGTGCATAAGAAAAAACAGGACAGTCAACCACGCAATAAAGGGACTAAAGCAACCTTTTCAACACACACAAAGCAGTGGACATGTAAACACATGCAGAAAATGTGGGAAAATCACACCAGCCCAAACAATGCCCAGCATATGGAGTTTCCTGCCACAAGTGTGGTAAACAGAACCACTATGCAAAGATGTGTGGGTCAGGTAAAGCACAGCATAGAAGGACAGTGCATGATATCAGTCCAGAAATTGACACTCTGTTTATTGGAACAGTGAACATTGACCAGCTCGACTCAGCCTTGACAAGTCCTGGTACTCTGAAGTACAGGTTGACAACATGTCCGTAAGGTTCAAATTGGATACAGGAGCAGAGGCCAATGTCCTACCACTGAGGATGTTTAAGTCCATGAAAAAGGAAGGCCAGACGGGAAAGGAGAGCACACCTGCAACTACAGCCCACAAAACAGTGCTGGTGGCTTATGGAGGGATGAGGCTGAGGCCAGAGGGGTTACTCACACTCAAGTGCTCTACACCCAAAGCTCATGCAAGTCTGCCGTTTACATATCGAGACACTCATCCACACCTATCCTAGGGGGAGATGCTTGTGTAGACTTGCACCTGGTAAAAAGGCTGGACATCGACAAACTGGATGTGAAACATCCAACTACGAAGGAGGAGCTGATAGCTCCACACCCAACAGTCTTTGAAGGTCTGGGGAGTTTGCCGGAGAATATCACATCCACACAAACCCCAAGGCTACGCCAGTCATACATGGCTGCAGAAAAATACCACTGGCCATGATGGATAAACTCAGAGACACTCTTGATGACCTGTTACAAGCAGATGTGATTGCACAGGTGACGGAGCCAACACCATGGGTAACTAGCCTTGTAATCACAGAAAAGAAAGATAAGAAGAAATTGAGGGTTTGCTTGGACCCCACTGATTTAAACAAAGCAATACTAAGACAGCACTACTCCATCCGCACAACAGATGAAGTTTTGTGCAAACTTGCTGGTAAGAAGATATTCACAGTGCTGGATGAGAAGGACGGCTACTGGCAAGTAAAGCTTGACAAGGAGTCATCGCTGCTGTGCACATTTAACACACCGTGGGGAAGATATAGGTTCAAACGTTTGCCGTTTGGAATCAAGTCAGCAAGCGAGGTTTTTCAGCAGCGCAATTGTGAAGCGTTCCGTCGACATACAAGGAGTACACATCATAGCTGACGATATGATCATCGCGGCAGCTACAGAAAAAGAACATGATGAGATAATACAGAAAGTGATGACCAGAGCAAAAGAAGCAAATGTGAAATTCAACAAAGAGAAAATACAGTACAAGGTGAGCAGCGTCAACTACATGGGCCACGTCGTCACTTCAGAGGGTGTGAAAGCAGACGAGGCAAAAGTTAAAGCCATAGCTGAGATGCCTCCACCCACTGACAAAGCAGGACTACAGAGGATGCTAGGCATGACAAAATACCTGGCGCAGTACATCCCAGGCAAGGCCACCATAACAGCGCCGCTAAGACAGCTGCTCAGGAAGGACAATATGTGGCAGTGGCAACACGAACATGACGAAGCAGTCAAAAAAACTGAAAGATGCTCTCACAAATGCTCCTGTGCTCAGATTCTTTGATCCACAGAAACAGCTCATCATACAGGCTGATACGTCTAAGGACGGCCTAGGAGCATGCCAAGTGCGGCCGCCTCGGTGTGTTGGTGCGCTTTGTTTTTTCTTGCTTTGTGTGTTAATTCAGTTTTCGGCTGTGATACCCGGGGCTCTTTCACTAAAGAAGAGCTCATGAACATCAGGGGAACAACTCCAGCTGATCTCTTTCCCACTTTTCTTATTTCTTCCGTGGAATTATTGGACATTGTGGTCAAAAGTGCGCTCACCTTTGCTCACGCAGTGAAACGCAGGAGGAGAGGGAGACGTGCCGGTGCGCTTGTGCGTCTCCGCCAGCGCGGACATCGTACGCCGTTACCTGGAATATTCCTCTCCAATGTGCGCTCACTGTGCAACAAAATGGACCAACTTCAGCTACTTCTGGGGAAAAACAGTGACTTTTCTTCATCCTCTGTTTTATGCTTCACAGAGACGTGGCTGAGTGGATCGGTAACCGGACTCTGCGCTGCAGCTGGCAGGCTTCCAACTCCTCAGAGCGGATCGTGACACAGAACTCTCCGGCAAAACAAAGGGTGGAGGTATCTGTTTTTATACCAACAGTAGCTGGTGTAATGATGTGACAGTGATCCAACAGCACTGCTCTTCTACTCTGGAATCTTTCTTTATAAACTGCAAACCTTTTTACTCCCCCCCGTGAGTTTGTTTCATTCATTCTGGTCGGTGTTTACATTGCACCGCAGGCCAACGTGCAGGATGCACAGCGCATACTCGCCGACCAGATACTGTATGTGGAGCAGACTAACCCGGACTCTTTAGTTATTGTCCTCGGTGACTTTAACAAAGGAAACCTCAGTCACGATCTTCCAAAATATAAACAGTTTATTAAATGCCTGACCAGAGAGAAGAATATACTGGATCATTGTTACACTACAGTCAGCGGAGCTTATCACGCCGTCCCCGCCGCACTGGGCCTCTCCGACCACGTCATGGTCCACCTGATTCCCTCATACAGGCAGAAATTAAAGCTCTGCAAACCTGTTGTGAGGACATCAAAGCAGTGGACCAGTGAAGCTGTGGAGGATCTCCAGGCGTGCTTGGACTCTACTGACTGGGATGTGTTCAGGACTGCTACTAACAGTCTGGATGAGTACACAGAGGCTGTGACGTCATATATCAGCTTCTGTGAGGACTGCTGTGTACCATCACGCACCAGGGTGAGTTACAACAACGGCAAACCCTGGTTCACAGCCAAACTCATTCAACTACGGTTGCAGAAGGAGCAAGCGTTCAGGAGTGGGGACAGGGACAAGTTTAAGGAGTCCAAGTACAAGTTTAGGAAGGCGGTGAGAGAAGCTAAACATCAGTACTCTGAGAAACTTCAACACCAGTTCTCAGCCAACGACTCTGGTTCTGTCTGGAAGGGGCTCAGACAGATAACTAACTACAAGCCCAAAACCCCTCACTCCATCAATGATCTGCGCCTGGCAAACGAGCTGAATGAGTTCTACTGCCGCTTCGACAGACAAAGGAGCAGTCCTGACACCATCCCCCGTGACACCCCTCACCGGCCCCACCTCACCAGTCCCTCCCCCCCCAGCCCAGCAGGAGCTGGGGCCACTTCACAGCTTCACACCTCTGTGAATCCCTCCTCCTCCACCACAGTGACGACTCTCTGCCTCCAAGAGAGGGACGTCAACAGACTCTTCAAGAGGCAGAACCACCGCAAAGCAGCCGGACCAGATTCTGTCTCTCCATCCACCCTGAAGCACTGTGCTGACCAGCTGTCTCCGGTGTTCACTGACATCTTCAACACCTCTTTGGAGATATGTCACGTGCCAGCCTGCTTCAAAGCATCGACCATCATCCCTGTACCCAAGAAAGCAAGGACCACAGGACTAAATGACTTCAGACCTGTTGCCCTCACCTCTGTGGTCATGAAGTCTTTTGAGCGCCTTGTGCTTTCCCACCTGAAAGCCATAACGGACCCACTCCTGGACCCCCTGCAGTTCGCCTACAGAGCCAACAGGTCTGTAGACGATGCAGTAAACATGGCCCTACACTTCACCCTCCAGCATCTGGACTCCCCAGGAACCTATGCCAGGATCCTGTTTGTGGACCTCAGCTCTGCGTTTAATACCATCATCCCTGCTCTGCTACAGGACAAGCTCTCCCAGCTCACTGTGCCTGACTCCACCTGCAGGTGGATCACAGACTTCCTGTCTGACAGGAAACAACACGTGAAGCTGGGTAGAAATGTCTCTGACTCCCAGACCATCAGCACCGGATCCCCTCAGGGCTGTGTTCTTTCTCCTCTACTCTTCTCCCTGTACACCAACAGCTGCACCTCCAGTCACCAGTCCATCAGGCTCCTGAAGTTTGCGGATGACACCTCCCTCATTGGGCTCATCTCTGGTGGAGATGAGTCCGCCTACAGATGGGAGATTGACCATCTGGTGACCTGGTGCAGCCAGAACAACCTGGAGCTAAATGCTCTAAAAACAGTGGAGATGGTTGTGGACTTTAGGAAGAACCCAGCCCCACCCGCCCCCATCATCCTGTGTGACTCCCCAGTCGACTCTGTGGAGTCTTTCCGCTTCCTGGGTACCATCATCACCCAGGACCTCAAGTGGGAGCTGAACATCAGCTCCCTCACCAAGAAAGCCCAGCAGAGGATGTACTTCCTGCGACAGCTGAAGAAGTTCAACCTGCCAAAGACAATGATGGTGCACTTCTACACTGCCATCATCGAGTCCATCCTCACCTCATCCATCACCATCTGGTACGCTGCTGCCACTGCCAAGGACAAGGGCAGACTGCAGCGTATCATTCGATCAGCTGAGAAGGTGATCGGCTGCAATCTGCCATCCCTCCAGGACCTGTACGCCTCTAGGACCAGGAAGCGTGCAGGTAAGATTGTGGCTGACCCCTCCCACCCAGGTTACAATCTCTTTGAGGTACTTCCCTCTGGCAGGAGGCTGCGGTCCATCAGGACTAAAACGTCTCGCCATAAAAACAGTTTCTTCCCGTCGGCAGCTGGCCTCCTTAACAAGGCCCGGATTACCCACTGTCATTGACTCTTATACCCACCCTGTATATAAAGTATGCATTACATTAATGCTCCCACGTTCTTCTGCACAGCTTTCTATTTCTCTTCTTATCTTTATCTATTTATTTGATCCCAACTGCCAATAATCCCGTATTGATCCAGCCCTTCGTCATTAGTCTTAATGTTCTTCTTCTCGGTGTTACAGGAAGTTAGCCGGCCGCACGCTCTTCATCACCGGGGGCAGTCGAGGGATCGGTAAGGCCATCGCTCTGAAAGCTGCCAGAGATGGAGCCAACATCATCATCGCCGCCAAGACCGCTGTGCCCCACCCCAAACTGCCGGGAACCATCTACAGCGCTGCGGAGGAGGGTGAGGAGCTAACAGACTACATGCTAACAGATTAAACCCTGTTTAATGAGACGGTGACTCTGACCCAGCATGCTCTCTGTTTCAGTGGAGGCCGCCGGAGGGAAAGCGTTGGCCTGCATCGTCGACATTCGCGACGAGCAGCAGATCGGAGAGGCCGTTCAGAAAGCTGTCGACAAGTTTGGAGGTACATTCACACTCTCACCTGTTCGCTACGAGTTAATATCCGCACATTTTTATCAAGATATTTATGTATGTATGTATGTATGTTTGTATGTATTTATGTATGTTTGTTTGTATGTATGTATTTATGTATGTTTGTTTGTATGTATGTATTTATGTTTGTATGTTTGTTTGTATGTATGTATTTATGTATGTATGTTTGTATGTTTGTTTGTATGTATGTATGTTTGTATGTATGTATTTATGTTTGTATGTATTTATGTTTGTATGTATGTATGTATTTATGTATGTATGTATGTATGTATGTATGTATTTATGTATGTATGTATGTTTGTTTGTTTGTTTGTTTGTTTGTTTGTATGTATGTATTTATGTTTCTGAATGAAATTAGTTTTTCAAATTGTTGCTCTATTAGATAAATGAGAAGTTGTTCTGGGTTTATGGCTCAGTGTATCAGTGGGTGGGAAGCTGGTGAGGGATCACGTCAGGGAGACTTCCTGCCCCAACAGTGACATCATCATCAGCTTGTTTCTGATTGGCAGGAATCGACATCCTGGTGAACAACGCCAGCGCCATCAGTCTGACAGGAACTCTGGAGACGCCCATGAAGAAGGTGGACCTGATGCTGGGAATCAACCTGAGAGGAACCTACCTGACGTAAGAGTCTGACACACTGCTAACGAGGTTAATTAACTCGGCTAACGAGTCATACTGTTAAACTAGCATGCTAATAGACTTTCATTGTTAACTAGAATGTTGTAGTTTTGTTTAACTCGTTAACGAGCGGAGTTAACGAGCGGAGTTAACGAGCGGAGTTAACGAGCGTCTGTATGTGTCAGGTCTAAGATGGTCCTCCCTCACCTGCTGAAGGGTCACAATCCTCACATCCTGAATCTGTCGCCTCCGCTCAACCTCAACCCCGTCTGGTTCAAGAACCACACAGGTAACCATAGCAACAGACCACTCAGCATCCCATCATACACCTGTGCAGTACTAACGCGTGGTTTGTTTGTTTTATTCAGCGTACACAATGGCGAAGTACGGTATGTCCATGTGCGTCCTGGGAATGGCCGAAGAGTTCAGAGGTCAAATCGCTGTCAACGCCCTCTGGCCTAAAACCGGTCAGTGGCTAAGTGTTAGCATGCTAACAGGCTCCTCATTGACCCTCCATGACGCTAACCCTGCTCTGGCCTGTGTGTTGTTACCGTAGCGATACAGACGGCAGCAATGGACATGTTGGGCGGAGACGGAATTGGGAAACAGTGTCGTACGACTGACATCATTGCGGACGCCGCCACGCAATCCTGTCCCGATCGAAGGACTACACAGGTCACTTCCTGGTGGATGAGGACGTCCTTAAAGAGCAGGGAGTCCAAAACTTCGATCAGTACGCCGTCCAACCAGGTGAGAGCATGCTAGCTGAGCTAATGCTAACCTAGCATGTGTAGTTACAAGCTAGCTTTCCTGCACACTGTCATGTGGTAGTTATTGTGGTCTCTGATTGGTCGACAGGGCACCCCCTGCTGCCAGACTTCTTCCTGGACGACGCACCCGAGACACTGGTGAAAAAGATGGAGGAACACGGTAAATACTATAAATACAGCAAATACTATAAATACAGTAAATACATTAAATACAGCAAATACTATAAATACAGCAAATACTATAAATACAGTAAATACATTAAATACAGCAAATACTATAAATACAGCAAATACTATAAATACAGCAAATACTATAAATACAGTAAATACATTAAATACAGCAAATACTATAAATACAGCAAATACTATAAATACAGCAAATACTATAAATACAGTAAATACTATAAATACTGTAAATACTATAAATACAGCAAATACTATAAATACAGCAAATACTATAAATACAGTAAATACTATAAATACTGTAAATACTATAAATACAGCAAATACTATAAATACAGCAAATACTATAAATACTGTAAATACTATAAATACAGCAAATACTATAAATACAGTAAATACATTAAATACAGCAAATACTATAAATACAGCAAATACTATAAATACAGTAAATACTATAAATACTGTAAATACTATAAATACTGTAAATACTATAAATACTATAAATACTGTAAATACAGTAAATACTATAAATACAGCAAATACTATAAATACTGTAAATACAGTAAATACTATAAATACAGCAAATACTATAAATACTGTAAATACAGTAAATACTATAAATACTGTAAATACAGCAAATACTATAAATACAGTAAATACATTAAATACAGCAAATACATTAAATACAGCAAATACTATAAATACAGTAAATACTATAAATACTGTAAATACTATAAATACAGCTAATACTATAAATACAGCAAATACTATAAATACAGCAAATACTATAAATACTGTAAATACTATAAATACAGCAAATACTGTAAATACTGTAAATACAGCAAATACTATAAATACTGTATATACAGCAAATACTATAAATACTATAAATACAGCAAATACTGTAAATACAGTAAATACTGTAAATACAGTAAATACAGCAAATACTATAAATACTATAAATACAGCAAATACTGTAAATACAGTAAATACTATAAATACTATAAATACAGTAAATACTATAAATACTGTAAATACAGCAAATACTATAAATACTGTAAATACAGCAAATACTATAAATACTGTAAATATAGTAAATACTGTAAATACAGTAAATATAGTAAATACTATAAATACTATAAATACTGTAAATACTATAAATACTGTAAATACAGTAAATACTGTAAATACAGTAAATACTATAAATACTGTAAATACAGCAAATACTATAAATACTGTAAATACTATAAATACTATAAATACAGCAAATACTATAAATACTGTAAATACTATAAATACTGTAAATACAGCAAATACTATAAATACTGTAAATACAGCAAATACTATAAATACTGTAAATATAGTAAATACTGTAAATACTGTAAATATAGTAAATACTGTAAATATAGTAAATACTGTAAATACAGCAAATACTATAAATACAGTAAATATAGTAAGTACTGTAAATACAGCCAATACTATAAATACTATAAATACAGTAAATATAGTTAATACTGTAAATACAGCAAATACTATAAATACAGTAAATATAGTAAATACTGTAAATACAGCAAATACTATAAATACAGTAAATATAGTAAGTACTGTAAATACAGCAAATACTATAAATACTGTAAATACTATAAATACAGCAAATACTATAAATACTGTAAATACTATAAATACTGTAAATACAGCAAATACTATAAATACTGTAAATACAGCAAATACTGTAAATACAGTAAATACTATAAATACTATAAATACAGCAAATACTATAAATACTGTAAATACAGTAAATACTATAAATACTATAAATACTATAAATACAGCAAATACTATAAATACTGTAAATACAGCAAATACTATAAATACTATAAATACAGCAAATACTATAAATACTGTAAATATAGTAAATACTGTAAATACAGTAAATATAGTAAATACTATAAATACAGTAAATATAGTAAATACTGTAAATACAGCAAATACTATAAATACTGTAAATATAGCAAATACTGTAAATACAGTAAATATAGTAAGTACTGTAAATACAGCAAATACTATAAATACTATAAATACTATAAATACAGTAAATACAGTAAATATAGTAAATACTATAAATACAGTAAATACAGTAAATATAGTAAATACTATAAATACAGTAAATATAGTAAATACTATAAATACAGTAAATATAGTAAATACTATAAATATAGTAAATATTATAAATACAGTAAACATAGTAAGTACTACAAATACAGTAAATATAGTAAATATTATAAATACAGTAAATATAGTAAATACTATAAATACAGTAAATATAGTAAATATTATAAATACAGTAAACATAGTAAGTACTACAAATACAGTAAATATAGTAAATATTATAAATACATTAAATATAGTAAATACTATAAATACAGTAAATATGGTAAATATTATAAATACATTAAATATTGTAAATACTATAAATACAGTAAATACTATAAATACAGTAAATAAATATAGTAAATACTATAAATACTATAAATACAGTAAATATAGTAAATACTATAAATACAGTAAATACTATAAATACAGTAAATACTATAAATACTATAAATACAGTAAATACTATAAATACAGTAAATACTATAAATACTATAAATACAGTTAATATTATAAATACAGTAAATACAGTAAATACTATAAATACAGTAAATATAGTAAATACTATAAATACAGTAAATATAGTAAATACTATAAATACAGTAAATACTATAAATACTATAAATACAGTTAATATTATAAATACAGTAAATACAGTAAATACTATAAATACAGTAAATATAGTAAATACTATAAATACAGTAAATATAGTAAGTACTATAAATACAGTAAATACTATAAATACAATAAATACTATAAATACAATAAATACAGTAAATACTATAAATACAGTAAATACTATAAATACAGTAAATACTATAAATACTATAAATACAGTAAATACTATAAATACAGTAAATACAGTTAATATTATAAATACAGTAAATACTATAAATACAGTAAATACAGTAAATACTATAAATACAGTAAATATTATAAATACAGTAAATATTATAAATACTATAAATACTGTAAATACAGTAAATACAGTAAATATAGTAAATACTATAAATACTATAAATACAGTAAATATTATAAATACAGTAAATACAGTAAATATAGTAAATACTATAAATACAGTAAATATTGTAAATACTATAAATACAGTAAACATAGTAAATACTATAAATACAGTAAACATAGTAAATATTATAAATACAGTAAATATTGTAAATACTATAACTACAGTAAATATAGTAAATATTATAAATACAGTAAATATTGTAAATACTATAAATACTACAGATATTACAAACACAGTTTCTAAAGTAGGATAATGAAATATATCTATAATTACATTATAATAAACAGCACACTGACCTCATTGTGCCTTTAAGCGTCACTGTGGCGCCCCCTGATGTCTCATAAAGACAAACCAGTCAAATTACCTGTTTTTTTTTTCTCCACGTTGCTAGGGGCGACCCCAGCCTTCAAACCACCGCCTCCCTCCAGTGGACCAATAGAAAGCACGTTTGACGCCATCAGAGGAGTCATCAACGAAGACGTCGTCAAGACAACACAGGGCATTTATCAGTTCGACCTATCAGGTAACAGTAAAGTTAGATTGTGTCCATATAAGGAGATTCTGTGGGCGTGGCAACAACATGAACGTCTTTATGTCCATATAAGGAGATCACAAAGGCGTTTGGTTCCTGGACTTGAAGAGCGGCGCCGGCAGCGCGGGGGCCGGGCCAGCCCGTCAAAGCCGACGTCATCATGGCGATGGACTCGAGCGACTTCAGCAAGATGTTTGCAGGTGAGCCGTCACCACGGTAACGCTGGTGTAAAACACAGCCATAGCGATGGATTTAGCGGCGTTGTTTCCGTGGTAACAGCTGTGTGTTGGCGTCCTCAGGGGAGCTGAAGCCGACGATGGCCTTCATGTCGGGGAAGCTGCGGATCAAAGGCGACATGACGCTCGCCCTCAAACTGGAGAAACTGATGACCCGCATGAGCAAGGCCAAACTGTGAGACTGAAGCCCCGCCCCCAGACCCACTCAGGCCCCGCCCACCCGCTGTACATGTTGCCTTAATAAAATAATAATGAAATAATAACATTTTAATAAAACCTTAATAAAAAACTGAAAACGTTGTGGTTTCATTCAGAGAACTCTGTTTATATCTCTGATATTATTATACTGAGGACATTCAGCACACAGACCATTATTAACATTAGAATTAATGTTAATATTCATATATAAATATATATATATATATTTATATATATATATTTATATATATATCTATATATTTATATATAGATATATATAGATGTGTGTGTTGCAGCCAGTCACTCCACCATCTCTCCCTGTTGCGTGTCAACAAGTGTGAAGTGTGTATTTCAGCCTGTGTGTGTGGATCAATAAACTGTCTTATGTGTAAAAGCTGGTGTCACATTTTACACATCAAACAATAAAAACTGTTTAAGTAAAAACCCTCCTGTTTTCTTCTTCTGTGATCTCTTAGTAAAAGGGGGCATTTAATTATCATATTAATATTAATATATATATTATTATTAATATCTATATAAGGACCGTGCATGCCTATAAGTAAGAATACCTGTCAGATAAATGGGAGTGTGATAAATATTCAAGTTCCTCAAAACTAAAACGTTTGGTTTCCTTTATTATAATTATAAAATAATATACTATTATTATTATTATTATTATTATTATTATTATTAGAGTTATGAAGTATCAGAGTATCAGTATCTGTATAAATCTACAAATATCAGTATCTGCTGTCGGACACCATAAAACAATGAGCATGAGTGATTCACTCAGTCTCTCAAACACACCTGCGAGTGCAGCTGCTGAACTTCCGGTTCTCGTTATCCAATCAGAGGCCGGATCCAGGTGTACGGAGGGCTTTTAGTCGCAGCTGTGGCGGCTCCGGCCGTCAGCTTCCAGCCGCTCTTCGGGTCGTTCCCCTCGGCAGAGAACAGTGGAGCATGTCGGCGGTTCTCGGACGGATGACGACGACGACGACGACGACGATGATGATGATGGTCTGGGTTTGGATCAGTCTGCTGACTCTAGCCCGGTTCAACACGGCACAGGACCAGCACCGGGACGCCGAGCTCACGGCGCTGCTGGAGGAGACCGGGAGCGGCGGAAGACTTTCTCCGGTGCCGGTGTGGAAGTTCCTGAACGGTAAAAAGATCCACCTGTGATCAATAAAGGAAGTTAAATCCAACATGGAGTTCAGAGTTTGTCCTGATGAAGTGAATGAAGTGATTTAAATAGTTTCACACTCACTTTGTTTTTACTAACTGCTAATTAAACCCTGAAATATAATTAAATAAATGTAACCTTCCTCAACCAGCAGACATTATAAATGTAATTATAATTAAACTGCTGCTAATATTTACATTTATTGTATCATTAATGAAAAAAATCAACTTTTGTTAAAAAATGTCTCTTAGCTTCTCTGAGCCACTAGCTTAGTCCAGCTACGGCCACGCCCCCTGTGGTTCTCTCTGCTGCCTTTAGTGGGCGCTAGCTATCAGAACTGAAGTTGAACTGGATTCCTTCCCATCATGCATCAGCAGTAACTCTTTCTGTTTCAGAGCGCCGTGACGGTGGTGAGGCGTCAGATTTCGGCCGGGCGCAGTATCTCTGCAGCGGCAGCTCGCTGTCTGTTCGCTTCTCGCTCATTCGACACACTGATCTGCGCCTGGCAGGTGAGTTTGATTCGTCCACCAGCTGCAGAGATTTTACACACTTGGATTGCCAGAATGAAATATAGAAGTTTAGTTTACTGACTGATTCAGTCTCATTATATAATGTCACACCAGGAGCATCAGCAAGCTTTAGCTCAAACTATAAAACGTTAAAAAGGTTCAAATGAAACCTATTAAACTCTTTACACCGGCACACTGCAGTGGGGGCGGAGCTACAGAAATCTTCATGTGCTTTAATCAGTCACATTTAATGTTTACTGAAGCTGCCAAATTAAGATTAGCGCATGGTGTTGATTCATGTTTCTAATAAATTTTCCCCACTCAGCGACACACCCGCTGAGGAACCAACTCTGGTTATTGGCAGCTCCATAGTCAGAAACGTGAAGTTAGCGAAGCCAGCGGCCATAGTTAAATGTATCCCTGGGGCCAGAGCGGGCGACATTGAATCATATTTAAAACTGCTGGCTAAAGATAAACATAAATACAGTAAGATTGTTATCCACGTCGGCGGTAACGACACCCGTTTACACCAATCGGAGGTCACTAAGATTAATGTGGAGTCGGTGTGTAACTATGCTAAGACAATGTCGGACTCCGTAGTTTTCTCTGGACCCCTGCCCAATGTGACCAGTGATGACATGCACAGCCGCATGTCGTCATTCCACCGCTGGCTGTCGAGGTGGTGTCCAGCAAACGATGTGGGCTTCATTGATAACTGGAAGCCTTTTTGGGGAAAACCTGGTCTGATTAGGAGAGACGGCATCCATCCCACTTTGGATGGAGCGGCTCTCTTATCTAGAAATATGGCGAAGTTTATTTCTAAAACCTGACAGTCCAGAGTTAGGACCAGGAAGCAGAGCTGCTGTCTTACACACTCCTCTGCTCTTTCTTTAGAACAGTCACCCACCCAAAACCCCATAGAGACTGTGTCTGTCCCCCGACCACCAAAATTATTTAAAGAAATAAAAACAAGAGGAGTTCAACATAAAAACCTAATAAAAATTAAAACCAACTCCTCAGTAGCACAAAATAAGAGAATGAAATGTGGACTGTTAAATATCAGGTCTCTGTCCTCTAAAGCTGTTTTAGTGAATGAATTAATATCAGATTATGATATTGATTTACTTTGTCTTACTGAGACCTGGTTGTCCCACGAGGAGTATGTTAGCCTAAATGAATCCACCCCCCCAGTCATATTAATACTCACATTCCTCGAGGCACAGGCCGAGGAGGTGGAGTAGCAGCTATATATGATTCGAGTGTTTTAATGGACCCTAAACCTAAACTAAATTATAATTCATTTGAAAGCCTTGTTCTTAGTCTTTCTCACCCAAACTGGAAAACACTGCAGCCAGTTCTATTTGTTATAGTGTACCGCGCTCCTGGACCGTACTCTGATTTTATATCTGAATTCTCAGAGTTTCTATCAAGTATAGTCCTTAAATCAGATAAAGTAATTATTGTAGGTGATTTTAATATTCATGTGAATGTTAACAATGACAGCCTTAGTAACACATTTATCTCATTAATAGACTCAATTGGCTTCTGTCAGAGTGTAAATAAACCAACTCATTGTTTTAATCACACTCTTGACCTTGTTCTATCATATGGCATTGATATTGAACATTTTATAGTCTTCCCACATAATCCTTTCCTATCTGACCATTATTTAATAACTTTTGAATTCATACTATTAGATTATAAGCCATTAGGCAAAACTTCTGTCGTGGAAATTCTTCCCAAAGTTGAGAGGTGCTAAGTCTCTGAAGAACTTTCAAGCCGGTGTGATAATCAAGTCACTTTACTTCATGCTGCATAGAGAGAAGGTCACGTCATGGATGTTCTCTCCCGACTTCCAAAATGCTCTCCCTTATATACATTTCAGTGCATCTCATTACATCACAAACAATGAAACCCCCTGTGTGTCTTGCAAATGTTACTCCTGTAAATCCAGGTCTCTCTCACCAAATGGTCCTTTGATGTGTGACTTCCCCCTGGCTCTTCCTATCATAAACTCAACCTTTTGACCAGGGGCACATCTATTTTATTACCCCCAAATCCTGTTTCTCTCCCACACTTCCTACAGCAGATGTCTATCTGACAGTGCTGTAGCTAAATTTAAGGAGGAGATTCCTTCAGTGTTTAATTCAATGCCATGTCTGAATTTAACAGTCCTATAACGACTTTAGTCCCTCTGAAATTGATAATCTTGTCGATAGTGCTACAGGCTCACTACGATCAACATTAGACTCTATCGCTCCTATAAAAAGGAAATTATTAAACCATAGGAGACTAGCACCTTGGTATAACCACCAAACCCGCCAGTTAAAACAAATAGCTAGACAATCTGAAAGGAAATGGCGCTCTTCCAAATTATCAGAATATCGCTCAAATTGGCAAGATAATCTTAAAACCTATAGAAAGGCCCTCCGTATTGCCAGAGGAGCCTATTACTCAGCACTAATAGAAGAAAATAAGAACAACCCTAGGTTCCTCTTCAGCACTGTAGCCAGGCTGACAGAGAGTCACAGCTCTATCGAGCCACATATCCCCATAAACTTAAGTAGCAATGACTTCATGAGCTTCTTCTATAATAAAATTATTACTATTAGAGAGAAAATTAATCACCAACTGCCATCAACAGTTATCAGTGGCTCTCCAAGTTCAGGGACTTCTGTCAATGTAAACTTAGATGTATATTTAGACTGTTTTTCTGCTATCGATCTTCATCAGTTAACTTCAATCATTTCTTCATCGAAGCCATCAACCTGTCTATTTAACAGGCAGTGTTTCCTTGCCCTTGTCTCAAAGGTCTTGCTCATGGTGGTACTGTTGGGTCTCTGTAAATGTTATAAAGAGTTCGGTCTAGACCTGCTCTATTTGAAAAGTGTCCTGAGATAACTTCTGTTCTGAATTGGCGCTATACAAATAAAATTGAATTAAGTTTTCTAAGACTTTTTTTTTTTAACTTCCAGTAAAAGCAGGGTCCCCAATAGAAGCCTGTCTCCATTAAAAGCTGGCTGTGGCTCCACGTTCTGACAAAACAAGTTTAACATTTATTCAGATGCTGCAAACAAGAGAGCAGATTGTAAAGTCTGTACAGTCCGTTCCTCCATTATTTATTCAGGGTCCACCCATCAGAACAAAGTGTTTCATTAAATAAATCTGAGTTGTGAATATGATGTCTGTTTGCCTTTAATCAGCTGAATATAACAATCATTGTGTTCGGTACCTTTTTAGAATGACATTTTTTTTATCTACAGAGGAAGCAGGTCCTCTTCCGGTGGAGTCCGCCATGTTTGTACAGTAGCCCAGAGTGGACAAAAACACTGGATCTAGAGCGACTTTCATGTTTTTCACAAGTCCTGCAACCAGTTTCTCTTCCACAGCCCGATCTCATTCCCAGGTTATCAAACGCTCTAAATCCCACACTGGTCCTTTTAGGTTAATCCTAATTAATGGGTGATGGGTTACTATCTTTTCATTTTGTCCTATCGTCTTTCCACAGACGGGAGGAGGTTGTTGACAGATGGATGTCAAGGTTCTGTTCGTAACCTCGGGCCGTGGATGCTGCTGACGCTGCCTTATACCAGCTGCCACTTGGCATTATGGGTAGGAACATTTAAAAAAAAAGAAATAAATAAAAATAAATAGATATATAGAGATAGAGATATATATATAGAGAGATATATATATATAGATAGATAGATAGATAGATAGATAGATAGATATAGATATATAGATATAGATAG